CCCCCCCCCCTGAGTACGTGTTTAAACACTGGCAGGAGGACGCCTTCTTCGCCTCCCAGTTCCTGAAAGGCCTCAACCCTGTCCTGATCCACCGCTGTTGCCACCTGCCAGAGAACTTCCCCATCACTGATGACATGGTGGCCCCCGTGCTGGGCCCTGGGACCAGTCTGCAGGCTGAGCTGGAGGTGAGGGGCTCGGGGTCCAGGCCCTGCACACCGCCGTCCCGGTGCCTTGGGGCCGTCCCCTGCTGGAGAGGCCCGCCTTCTTAGTGCCTAAGGACCTCCTTGTGCTGCGCGCCAACAGCGCCCTCTCCCAGGCAGATGCCTTTCCCCGGCCCTGAGTCCTCTCCCCGCCCCGCCCCTGCATCCGTTAGAGGCAGCCCCTGCTCCCCCTCTCCCTCCTGCAGAGGGGCTCCCTGTTCCTGGTGGATCATGGCATCCTCTCTGGCATCCACACCAACGTCGTGAATGGGAGGCCCCAGTTCTCCGCGGCTCCGATGACCCTGCTGTTCCAGCGCCCCGGGGGAGGGCCGCTGCTGCCCCTTGCCATCCAGGTCAGCGGCAGGGCAGGGGGAGGGAGGGGTTTGACGGAGGGGCCCCGCAGACACCCCACGGCCACCTCTCCCCACACCGGCTCCTCCTACAGCTCAGCCAGACCCCGGGGCCCGACAGCCCCATCTTCCTGCCCGGCGACAACAAGTGGGACTGGTTGCTGGCCAAGACGTGGGTGCGGAACGCCGAATTCTCCGTCCACGAGGCTGTCACGCACCTGTTGCACGCGCACCTGCTGCACGCGCACCTGCTGCCTGAGGTGTTCGCCTTGGCCACGCTGCGCCAGCTGCCTCACTGCCATCCACTCTTCAAGGTCCGTGGCTCGGCAACGTGGCCCACACTGTGTCCCTGCACCCCGGGCGTGCTCAGCGGCCTGGGCCCCGTGGCCCCCTCCCTCCAGGCGCAGAGCCCCCATCCTGCTGCAGCACGCCCTCCCTGGCAGCCTGCTTTCCCACAGGCCCTGAGCTGGGGCGAGGGGTGCAGGGGCTGGCGGGAGGAAGGGGGCTGCTTGGAACTTCTTAGGGGAGAGCAGAGGGACAGCCAGCCGCCGTCCAGAAGCCCCGTTCCTAGGCAAGATCTAAGGCAGATGTCAGAGTGCGCCCTTGGCTTTGAGGGAACAGCAGGTTGCTTGCAGAAGGGGCGAGGGAACCCTGGGACGGAGACCCGCGTCTCTAACCTGGGCTCCACTAAGCCTTCAGATGGCCCAGATTGCTTTTCCCCAGGGACCTGGGGCATCTCTTCTCCGAAGGGCAGGAATTTCTCCCATGCAGGCGGGGTCCACGGCTCTTTGGATTCTCTGATTCTTACTGAGGCAGGCTCCTGAGTCCCAGACGCAGGACCTTTTCTATCCTCTCCAGTCCAGGCTGATTGTTTTGACCCTCGGCAGCTCCCAGGGCCTGGTACTCTGCGGGGATGGTTCCATTTTGCTCTGCCGGCCCCGCTTTTCATGGTGCTTTGCCTGCACACGGGTTAGTAAATCACAGGATGCCAGAGCCGGGGGGCTCGTAGTGCTCCTCCAGATCAGCCTCCTCATTTGCCCGGAGAGAGGAAGGCGCCAGGCCCGGGTCATAGCACAGGATGCCGGTGGAAGCCCAGCCCCGGCACGAGGTCTGGGGCCCTGATCCCTGTCCCCGGCTGGTCCTCTTGTCGCTGTCATCTCTTTCCATGGGTAATTTATAAGACTTGGTGCCTCTCTGGCCCCAGACCTCACTCACCTGTGTCTTCTCCGACCCTTACAGCTGTTGATCCCCCACACTCGGTACACCCTGCATATCAACACTCTTGCCTGCGAGCTGTTCATCGCCCCGGGGCAGGTGGTGGACAGGGTAAGTCTGCTTCAGGGAGGGTGGCGATGGGAGCGTCCCCGTGTCTCCCGCCAGCGCTGCCTGGGGCCAGCGCTCCGGCACCCAGGAGTTCTGTCTCCCAGTCCACAGGCATTGGCGTTGGAGGCTTCTCGGAGCTGATACAGAGGAACATGGAACAGCTGAGCTATTCCGTCCTGTGTCTGCCCGAGGATATCCAGGCCCGAGGAGTCGAAGACATCCCGAATTACTACTACCAGGATGACGGGTTGCAGATCTGGGGTGCAGTGGAGAGGTGAGGTGGCCATCCCCAACGAGCCGGGGGGTGGGGGAGGCAAGAAGATGGGGGAGGAGCGGGAGGGCCCAGGGAGGCTCCCGACAAGGAGGGGGGCTGGACATGAATGACACTGAGCCGTGTTGCTCCTCAGGGAGGGAGGGTCAGGGTCAAAAGTCGGGACTGAACCCAGTGCACCTTGCAGCTTTGTCTCCAAAATAATCAACATCTACTACCCAAGTGATGCATCGGTGCATGATGACCATGAACTCCAAGCCTGGGTGTGGGAGATCTTCTCGGAGGGCTTCCTGGGCAGGGAGAGCTCAGGTACGGGGACCCCAGCCCTTGGACCCCACTCTCAGTCCCCTGCAGCGGGGTCCTGAGGACCCTGGCAGCCGCATGCCTGGCCCCCCTCCCCCCGCAGGTGTGCCCTCCGCGCTGGAGACCCGGGAAGCCCTGGTCCAGTACGTCACCATGGTCATCTTCAACTGCTCAGCCAAGCACTACGCTATCAGTGCCGGGCAGGTGAGAACGGTCGGTGCCGGGATGGGGGTACGGAGGGGGGCCGGGCTCCTAGGACTCAACGTTGCCTTCTTGGCTTTCAGTTTGACTCCTGTGTCTGGATGCCCAACCTGCCTCCCACCATGCAGCTGCCACCCCACACCTGCAAAGGCCAGACAACGCCAGAGGGGTTTCTAGCCACCCTCCCGCCGGTCAATGCCACATGTGACATTATCATTGCCCTCTGGCTGCTGAGCAAGGAGCCTGGGGACCAAGTGAGTGTGGGGCTGGGGGCCAGGCCAGGCCAGCTCTGGGGTGTGCGAGGGGGTGTCCTTTCCCTTCTCTGGCACAGACCCCACCCTGCCTTCAAGACGCTGGGTCTCTTCACCCACTGAACCTTCCCAGGGGGACACATGAACGTTGGACATCTCACCAGGAGGGTCAAATGATCAAATGAGTTCAGGCAGAGTCACCCTAGCTGCAAGGGGATCACGCTGGGGGGTGGGGACTCCCCTTGGAAAACTCTGACTTGAGCTTTCAGTCCCCAAGAGCTGCCTGCAGTGACCCTCATTGCCTAAAGGGAGGGATAGGGCTGAGGCTCGGAGGGAGGCTACTTCCAGGTCCCCGGGGTGGACAGCTAACTGGGGTCCCAGCTGCTGAGCAGCCCCTTCACTCAACCTTGTGGTTGGTTCCCAGCGGCCCCTGGGCACCTACCCAGAGGAGCACTTCACGGAGGAGGCTCCTCAGCAGAGCATCACCGCCTTCCAGAGCCGCCTGGCCCAGATCTCGAAGGATATCCGGGAGCGGAACCGGAGGCCGTCACTGCCCTACACCTACCTGGACCCTCTGCTCATTGAAAACAGCATATCCATCTAAATCCCCTGGAGAACAGGGTGCTCTGAGGCATCCTTTGGACCCCATAAAACCAGGCCCCCATATGCCTCTCCTGGGACAACCAAACCACACGGAACTCACCCCACACACCACAAAACAACAGAAACAAAACAGAGAAACAAAAGGCCCCAAAGAACAGCACCACCGTACCGTACGTTTTGAAGACACTGAGCTTCAAAGTGCTCAAACACCCACAGTTCCCTTAAAGGGTTTTATGACTTTGTGTTGCTTTGCATTTTTGCATTACATTATGATGGGGGGGGGGAATCCCCTGATACCCGCTGATCCCACTGACCACAGCTGAGTGTAATGGTCGCCTGATGCAGGGCGGCCCTCCTGGCAGGTCGAAAAATAGCCCAAGAGGTTGATAGTGACCTATGGTCTCAGCTATAAAAATGAACAACCCACTAAGAAGGGGCCACCAGAAGCAGGGCAGAAGGAAGTTGACAACTGTCTGGGCAGTACCCACATTCGCTTTCCTAAAAACTTGTTCCAAAGTTGGACAAAAAAGCTTGCATATTATAAAGCAGGTTCCCATTTCCAGAGAATTAGAAAATAGCAGAGCCATAATAATCCTATGTTGCCTTCCAGATTCTGTCCTCAGTGATGGAATTCCAACACTGCATACACATTCTTCCCTTCTGTTCTTCTTTCTTCTTGTCCCAAATCAAGAGTCATCCATTAAGGCCAAAATGGCTCCCTTTGGAATTCACCTAATGGTTTCCACCTCTGCGTCATATTGTAGGTTTGGTTTTTGAGGTTCGCTAAGTTTTATAAAACAGTGCGGACAGAACGCGATAGGTATTTGAATCGCTACACAAACACGACCACTGAGAGAGAGCGATGCTCTAGGAAATGCTAGAGGGCAGCTCCCCAGGTGAGATTGTATGCCCCAGATGAGCCAGAGATATAGAGATATAGAGCTCTTAAACTCTTTGGCTTCAAGCAATAGAAGACAATTCCTGATAACTTAAGTGATAAAAGCAATAAAAATGGAGAAGAAACTGAGTCTCAAGGGATTAAAAAAAAAAAAGCATTACACACCGTCCTCGGGAAGGACCCAAGGAGGCTCTGGGCACAGGACCCAATGCACAGCATCCTCAGGCGCTGCTGTCAGAATGACCAAGCTCCTACCACCTTTTGTCTTTGAATTCTTAGCTTCAGTATGCAAATTCCATGAGGACAGGCCTGTCGGACTTGACTCGGAGGGGCAGAAACCATTAGCTGCTGTGGCGGAAAGCTTGAGCTCACTAAATAGCTCAGGTTGGGGCCATATGACCGATGCCGGCCAATGGATCGTGGAGGAAGCAATGTATGTCACTTCCACGATGAGGCAGTTGGGAGCTGGGGTGCCTCCCTCATCCTTCCCTCGCCCTTGAGGCTACCTTGGAGGCATGCTCCAGAAGACATGAGCCCCTCCTCCCCTTGATCCCTAGACTGCATACTCATGAGGACAGGGTTCATAACTGCCCACCACAGTGCTTGGCACACAGCAGGAGCTCAGTAAGTAGGTGTTGAGTGGAGGACATCATACCCAAACGATTCCTTAAACCCTTCCATGCCCCTTCGCAGTTACCTGTGTGTTTCCCCAACCAGACCATGAGTTTCTTGAAGGCAGGAGCTGGGTCTCATCCGTTTATATTCCTGGTGCCCAGCACTGTGCTGACACACGAGAGAGAGCTGACAAATGTTTGTCTGATGATGGATAAAAGGGAGAATGATTGAATGTACGTACGTGTGGACGGATGGATGGATGGACGGACGGATAGATAGAAAGATGGACGGATGGAGGGATGAACTACTGAGGTGGAAGGCAATTGTGCTCCAGTCAATAAACCGGTATTTGCTTCAATGGATGTCTTTTGGGAGCAACTATCATCTAGAGAAAATGGAGAAACCAAGGCAGCTCAGCAGTGAAAATCCAAGCAGTCAGTCTCCAATCCTCCTTGGAGAAGCCCCCACCCCCTCCACCACACAGACCTGTGACCCCTCTGACTCTCCTTCTCTCTCTCTTTCTCTCTGTCTGTCTCTCCTCTGTCTCTCACACACATACCCAAGTCCTTGGACTCTTGGCTGATGAGCCATAAGAAGAGAAGTTTGTTAAGGTGACATTCACGTCTAGGGGAAATCTAGTTCAGAGTGGTGGTCCCCTTGACCTAGGGTGGGGACTTCCTCATGGACAATAAAACATTGGGCATCCAGATCCCAGAGTCATGCTGTGGAGACCCCCGCCCTCTTTGGGCTTGCTGGCCAGAGGGGGAGGAGCAGCTCCCTCTTAACCACCCCGACTCCAGCCTTTCAGTTAGGGAATGAGGGAGTGTAGGGCACAGTAAAAGTGGGGTGGGAGCATCCCTTACCCCTGCCACTCCCTGCCCAGTGTTCCAGCACTGGCTAGAGTGAGTCACGAGGGAAGGAGGGGGGACAAAGGTGTGGGTAGGTGGCAGCAAAAGGGGTAGAAACAGAGATGCAAGACTCTAAGACATTAGCGCGGAAGGGGTTAATGAAACAATACAGAGGCAGGGCGTTTCCAGGCATAAAATTGCAGGCACATAAAAAAGAGGGGTAAGATATACAACCTTAGTAAATATCTGAAGTATAAAAAGAGCTTGTACCAATGAATAACCCAGCAGAAAAGAGGGCACATAATAGGAAATTTTTAAAAGACAGTCCATAAAATAAACCTCAATGTTTAACCAACCTGTGAAAAGATATTTAATCTCACTGACTGTTAGGAAAGTATACCCAGAGTTGTTAAGGGTGTGAAGCAACCGAGTCCTGGTATAAAGGTGGAACAGTGTGCCTTTGGGGGAGAGCTTTCCGGAAGTCTCAATCAGACTTTAAAATCTAAAAGAAAAAAAGAAGTTTAATCCAGCGAACCACTTATAAAAAGGTGTCTTACTAAAAAAAGGCGGAGTGGCGCCTGAGTGACTCAGTCGGTTAAGCATCCAACTCTTGGTTTCAGCTCAGGTCATGATCTCAGGGTTGTGAGATCAAGCCCCGCGTCGGGCTCCGTGCTCAGTGTAGAGTCTACTTCAGATTCTTCCTCTCCCTCTCTCTCCCCTCACTGTGCATGTGCTCTCTCTCTCTAAAAAAGAAAAGAAAAGAAAAAATATCCAACAATGATAAAGTCAAAAGGACAACTGCCTGTCCTTTCAAGGTATTTAGTTTTTTGGAAGCATGTACCATCCCTTGATTTTGCTATTTATTATTAATAAAGGCCTCGGTCTATGAGAAGTTCACGTAACTTGTGACTGGTAGAGATGCAAATGATTTCTGTTTGGTAAAAAAAACAAACAAACAAACAAAAAAGATAACCCCAAGGGTTATAGTTCATTTCCCTTAGGGACTTCGGCTAGTTTTGTGTCTAAACCAGCAATCCTCTCCCGACTTTCCTTTCTCAAATTGTCTATACAGGCACGCCTCAGAAATATTGTGGGTTGGGTTCCAGACCATCACAGTAAAAGCGAGTCAAATGAATTTTTTGGCTTCCCAGTGCATGTGAAAGTTATGTTTACACCATACTCTATTAAGTGTGTCATAGTGGGATGCCTGGCTGTCTCAGTTGGTGGAGCATGCAACTCTTGATCCCAGAATTCTAAGTCAACCTCCACATTGGGTGTAGAGATTGCTTAAAAATAAAATCTCAAACAAAACAAAAAACAAAACAAAAAAACACATGTGCAATAGCATTGTGTCTTAAAAAATGTATATACCTAGGGGCACCTGGGTGGCTCAGTCAGTGAAGCATCTGCCTTTAGCTCAGGTCATGATCCCAGGGTCCTGAGATCGAGCCCCGCATCGGGCTCCCTGCTCAGCGGGGAGTCTGCTTCTCGAGACCTCTCCCTCTGCCTGCCCCTCTCTCTCTCTGTCGAATGAATAAATAAAATCTAAAAAAAAAATGTACATACCTTAAATTAAAAATACTTTATTGTTAAAAAATGCTAAGTCTCATCTGAGCTTTCAGGGAGTCCTCATGTTTTTGCTGGTGGAGGGTCTTGCCTCACTGTTGATGGCTACCAAGATGCTCAGGGTGATGGCTGCTGAAGGCTGGGGTGACTGGCAATTTCTTTTTTTTTTTTTTAAAGATTTTATTTATTTATTTGAGAGAGACAGAGTGAGAGAGAGCATGAGAGGGGACAGGGTCAGAGGGAGAAGCAGACTCCCCACTGAGCAGGGAGCCTGGTGTGGGACTCGATCCTGGGACTCCAGGATCACGACCTGAGCTGAAGGCAGTTGCTTAACCAACTGAGCCACCCAGGCGCCCCTGGCAATTTCTTAAAATAAGACAATAGTGAAATTTGCGGCATCGATCGACTCTTCCTTTCACGAACGATTTCTCTGTAGCAGGCGATGCTGTTTGATAGCATTTGACCCACAGGAGAACTTCCTTCAAAATCGGAGTCGGTCCTCTCAAACCCTGCTGCTGCTTTATCAACGAAGTCCATGGAATATTCTCGACCCTTTGTGGTTGTTTCAACAATCTTCACAGCATCTTCACCAGGAGTAGATTCCATCTCAAGAAACCACGTTCTTTGTTTATCTGTAAAAAGAAACTCCTCTAAATTAGTGCAGCCACTCTGGAAAACTGTATGGAGGTTCCTCAAAAAGTTAAAAATAGAACGACTCTATGATCCAGCAATCGCAGTTCTAGGTATTTACCCCAGGAATACAAAAATACTAACTCAAAGGGATACATGCACCCTGATGTTTATAGCAGCGTTATCTACAATAGCCAAACTATGGGACCAGGCCAAGTGTCCATGGGCAGATGAATGGATAAAGAGGATGTGGTATATAGATACAATGGAATACTACTCAGCCATAAAAAAGAATGAAATCTTGCCATTTGTAACAACATGGTTGGAACCGCAGAGTATTATGCTAAGTGAAATAAGTCAGAGAACCACAAATACCATATGATTTCACTCAAGCAAGCAAAAGGAAAAAAAAGATAGAGAGATAGACAAACCAAAAAACATTCTTAATTCTTAAGAACACACTGATGGTCACCAGAGGGTCGGGGGGTTGGGGGAAATAGGTGATGGGGGTGAAGGAGCACCTTTGTCGTGATGAGTGCCAGGTGATGGAGGGAAGTGTTGAGTCACTGTATAGTACACCTGAAACTAATATTACACTGTATGTTAAATAACTGGAATTTAACTTAAAACTTTTGAAAAAGAAAAAAAAAGCAACTCCTCCTCTGTTAGGAGATTGCAGTGATTC